GTATCAAAAGGGGATGGCCAGTCTTCAAATCATGTGCCAACATGCGTTAGCGGTACTTCCGGTGTCCGATGTAGGATGATGGGGTAATATACTCTCACCAAACACCTGTCGTGTAAACCAGTAGCATATCTGACCTGTAACATTGGATTCAGAATAGATTTTGCCCGTTGGCATTTTTTGTAATTTAGCTTAGCATGTTTGGTGCCACGATAATAATTTAAGGATTACCAAATCCCTCCTGGATTATCAAATTGTTAGCATTGATTATTTACTGAGAGTTAAGTACAGTACAACTTAGAGAGCTTTGCTTGAAGGAGGAATATTTTGAAATATAGTATTTATACTCATACAGTTGTAAAATAATTAACTAACTGTGTAAAATGTTGGGATTTACTCTAACCTCCTACATTAGGACAGTGTTTGTATGCTCTCGTTCACTCACTCTCTGTGCTTTCTCTCCTCACAGGTTTCTATGGATCATCGCTATATCTGGACGCTGGTCGTGCCTCTAACGTAGTTGTGACATATGCAAGAGTAATTTCCCTGGTTATCCTGATCGTGACAGTGAGCGTGAACTGTCGGGGAGAGACAGTCGCGTATCTCGCTGACTCTCGAGAGATAGTCGCGTATCTCGCTGACTCTCGAGAGATAGTCTGGTGTGTATCTCCGGCGAGAGTCCTGCACGGTGACATGTCGCTGTGTTGGGCTGCTGTTTCAATAGTATCAAAAGGGGATGGCCAGTCTTCAAATCATGTGCCAACATGCGTTAGCGGTACTTCCGGTGTCCGATGTAGGATGATGGGGTAATATACTCTCACCAAACTCCTGTCGTGTAAACCAGTAACATATCTGATTTGTAACATTGGATTCAGAATAGATTGTCCGTTAGCACTTTTCGTAATTTGGCTTAGTATGTTTGGTGCCACCATGATAATTTAAGGATTATCAAATCCTTTTTAATGGATGTTTAATGTTTTTTATGCTTTGTGCTTTCTCCCCTTCGCAGCCACCAATATATCTATCTATCTATATATATAGATATAGATATAGAGATAGAGATAGATATAGATATAGATAGATATATATATCTGTGTAGTCAAGAACTGTCAAATTAAATAAAGTACACATCAATTATATTTTAACAATTAACTGGATGGATTATATATAATTCATATATTATATATAATCGGAGTGCCTACCTCAAGCGAAGGAGTTCAAGTATCTCGGGGTCTTGTTCACGAGTGAGGGTAAGATGGCGCGGGAGATCGACAGACGGATCGGTGCGGCTGCAGCAGTAAAGCTCCACTGGAGGTTTTCCAGGCATGTCCAACTGGGAAGAGACCCCGGGGAAGACCCAGAACACGCTGGAGGGATTACATCTCCCAGCTGGCCTGGGAACGCCTCGGGATCCCCCAGAATGAGCTGGAACATGTTGCCGGTTAGAGGGAGGTCTGGGTCAGCCTGCTTTGCCTGTTGCCACCGCGACCCGACCCCGGATAAGCGGAGGAAAATGGATGGATGGATGGATATATAATACATAGAAAAAAATAAATTAATGTTTTCTCATTTCAAGTAAAAATTAAAGCTGCGAGCAGCGATGAACGGGCCCTCGCACCTTCCCGCGTCTCGGGGGTACTGGCGGGACGCCAGCAGAAGCGGCCATAAATATCTGTGACTATCAAATATTCCACCAGTTCCTGTATCCACTTTGTGGCGCTAGAGAACATGCAAACATGCATTGTGTTGCTCTACATCAAGTATAGACCACATCATGTAAATGTCATATAAATCGGATTCAGTTTGTCACATAACGCTGTCTTCCTGTTGCCAGTAGGTGGCGCTATGACTGAGTGAAAATTGGCTTGTAGACATCCTCAGGCCATGACTGTTATCAAATATGGCAACTTTGGGACACATTTGAGCAAGTCCAGTGGAGTTACATCAGCTTGTTTAATAGCGAATCACCTAGCGGCCACGTCACGGCTACGCCATTCTATCAAACGTAAAGCTTTGAGTAACTTTTAATTGCAAAGGTCTTTAGATTATACTGACCAAATTTGAAAAGGATCTGACAACATCCCTAGGAGGAGTTCGTTAAAGTACAGCGACTAGAAATCATGGGAAAATTCACACAAAAATCGAAATGGCTGACTTCCGGTTGGTTTTAAAGCATGGTCCCAAGAGACTTTCTTTTAAGCCTCCATTTGATACATGTCCCTACCAAATATCATATACAGTGGGTACGGAAAGTATTCAGACCCCTTTAAATTTTTCAGTGTTTCATTGCAGCCATTTGCTAAAATCAAAAAAGTTCATTTTATTTCTCATTAATGTACACTCAGCACCCCATCTTGACAGAAAAAAACAAATGTAGAAATTTTTGCAAATTTATTAAAAAAGAAAAACTGAAATATCACATGGTCATAAGTATTCAGACCCTTTGCTCAGTATTGAGTAGAAGCACCCTTTTGAGCTAGTACAGCCATGAGTCTTCTTGGGAATGATGCAACAAGTTTTTCACACCTGGATTTGGGGATCCTCTGCCATTCTTCCTTGCAGATCCTCTCCAGTTCCGTCAGGTTGGATGGTGAACGTTGGTGGACAGCCATTTTCAGGTCTCTCCAGAGATGCTCAATTGGGTTTAGGTCGGGGCTCTGGCTGGGCCAGTCAAGAATGGTCACAGAGTTGTTCCGAAGCCACTCCTTTGTTATTTTAGCTGTGTGCTTAGGGTCATTGTCTTGTTGGAAGGTGACCCTTCGGCCCAGTCTGAGGTCCAGAGCACTCTGGAAGAGGTTTTCTTCCAGGATATCTCTGTACTTGGCCGCATTCATCTTTCCTTCAATTGCAACCAGTCGTCCTGTCCCTGCAGCTGAAAAACACCCCCATAGCATGATGCTGCCACCATGTTTCACTGTTGGGATTGTATTGGGCAGGTGATGAGCAGTGCCTGGTTTTCTCCACACATACCGCTTAGAATTAACGCCAAAAAGTTCAATCTTGGTCTCATCAGACCAGAGAATCTTATTTCTCATAGTCTGGGAGTCCTTCATGTGTTTTTTGGCAAACTCTATGCGGGCTTTCATATGTCTTGCACTGAGGAGAGGCTTCTGTCGGGCCACTCTGCCATAAAGCCCTGACTGGTGGAGGGCTGCAGTGATAGTTGACTTTGTGGAACTTTCTCCCATCTCCCTACTGCATCTCTGGAGCTCAGCCACAGTGATCTTTGGGTTCTTCTTTACCTCTCTCACCAAGGCTCTTCTTCCACGATTGCTCAGTTTGGCTGGACGGCCAGGTCTAGGAAGAGTTCTGGTCGTCCCAAACTCCTTCCATTTAAGGATTATGGAGGCCACTGTGCTCTTAGGAACCTTGAGTGCTGCAGAAATTCTTTTGCAACCTTGCCTTGCCACAATTCTGTCTCTGAGCTCCTTGGGCAGTTCCTTCGACCTCATGATTCTCATTTGCTCTGACATGCACTGTGAGCTGTAAGGTCTTATATAGACAGGTGTGTGCCTTGGCTGAGAGGTTTGTATTTAACAGTATATTGTTTGCATCTTGCAATAAATATTGATATGTTCTTGATCACTTTGTGTTGTGTCTACTTGCCTTTTCTTTGCCTTTTGTAAGGCATAAATAGTCCTCACTTTAGATGAGGTCACACAAAATACTTAATAAATGCTTTAAAAGGCATAAATAGTCCTCACTTTAGATGAGGTCACATAAAACACTTTACTAAGGATTAGTAACTACCTTAATAAATCATGAATTAATCATGAATTGCAGTATTATAAAGTTTATAAAGCATACATTAACATAGTCCCTTACCATTAGTGCAGTGGTCGCCAACCCGTCGATCGCGATCGACGAAAATCTCCAAAATAAAATAAAAATAAATTCAGGAACACATTGGGCCTCATTCTCGAACATTATCTGAAGTGTCTTCTGAAATGTTTTCTTACGGACTTCGGAAGACCAACGTCAGAAAAGATCTCCGCCTGATTCATGAACACCTGAAAATGGGTTCTTACACAGCCGAAGTGTTCTCAGCTGTGCTCCCCCGAATGAGGATTCTTAAATTGAACGCGCGTTCTCGTGCACCTGGATTTGCATACAGAAACGCCCCGCCAGCTCCTTATAAGGGCATGCAACTGAAGAGACGTGTGCACAATCAACAGACTCCACAGGCAACGCGAAAGCAACTTCAGACTAGGGCTGGGCGGTATGACCAAAAATGCATATCACAGTATTTTTTTTTCCGCGTTAAAGCATTAATTAATTAACGCTGAAAAGAACCGGCCGGCCAACTGGCCAGCGAGCGGTGAACAACTGTTTGTGTGGCGTGTCTTCCGTTCCGTCACTTCCTGTTTCCTTCACCTACATTCCCCTGGGTCCTAAGCCCCTCCAAGTACAGCTTCTTGTCACCCTCGTACCAACGTACATTTATAACAAATACCACACATATTACACGGTAAGCAGCGTTGCATATGTGTCTGACCAAAATACCTTTTATTGTTCAGTCTTTGTTCATCCTGCATCGCTTTGTTCATCCTGCATCGCTCTTTTCTGTTCTTTAATGTAACGTTACTGGAGCGAGAGAGCCTCTCCCAGCTGTTAGCAGACTGTTGTTGGCTAGCTGTACCCAGCATGCAGTTCGGCGATGACATTTTTTAAATGCACAATTATTAGTGTTACAAATTGTTTGTGTCACAAACTGTTGTGTCGTGGTGTTTTGCCCTGTTAAAGAGCGTTAGTTGTGGGTTATTAATTGTTGTTATACAAGTATCTCAATACACTTAAGTTAACTAGCTCCGACCGTAGTGGTCACAGCGGTCTATTGTCTGATTAACACTCCGGAGCAGTAGGTGGCAGTAATGCACCAATAAGATGGATGACAACCGCCGTAAAACTAGAAGTAGCGCTCACGGCGGCGAACAATATATTTTGCTGCCTGTTGAAGAGCGACAGAAGTTGTTTCGGCTGTGCACCGGTATGACGGTATATGAAAAATTCATATCATACGGGAAATTAAAACCGGTATACCGGTTGAACCGGTATACCGACCAGCCCTACTTCAGACTGATTAAAATCATGTCAAAGCGGAAAGTCCTGTCCGGATCTAGTCCTGTAGTGTTTTTCTCTGTACATTGTAATCCTAGTTTGACTTGATTATAGTGAATGCATTGGGTGCCTTCCATTTCAAAATCACACTCTCTGATTGAACCAATCTATGAACTGTCTGAAACAATGGATTTTCGAGGCCCCAAATAGGCCCCCACGCGCGCAAACATGACACGCTCCCCTTGGGGCTAAGCCCCCCCTTTCTTTGAATCCTAGAAACGCACCTGCGTACAATTTTGGCATCGTCTTCCATGTCTACCAGGCTCTCACCTCACAGAGTGGACGAGAGGTAACTGTCCTTTTTGTCTCATTTTTATATATATATTAAATAATAATTTCTGTCAAACCAGCATCATTGAAAACGGTGCTACATAAAATATTCAGAGTGTGTCTAGTGCCTCCCCACAGCTCTCAACATGGCAACGGCTGAGCCGGCGGCTGGAAGTTAACAGCGCTAACAGTGTAAAATGAATGCAGGTAATACACTGAAGCTTAGTTTATACTCAGCCCTGTGAAGCCGGTGCGAGGCCCGCAGTTTGCTGATAAAAACACTATTTACATGTCTAGCCGTTATACAAAGAAGGCCAATTCACTTTTAAATGCTTTGGAGACAGGAGATCTTAAAAATCTTTATTTGAGTAAATATTTTGCAGCCAAATGAAATTGTTTACAAGATATTCAACCTTTGTTTCTTTATAATGCATGTAATACTTGACTTCTTTACAGGTCTTGTACAAAGGCAGTAAAGTAGAGTCCATGATTATGAGATAAGAGGTTACCGATCATTACAATCTCTTTCGCCATTGTGGAGGTCGGTTTAATGCATTTTGCAGGTTATTACAGTCTATGGCATATCTGAGTTACACTTGTTGTCCATTTTTTTTTTACAATTAATTTAGTTTGTATGCCCTCTGGCGTTTCGGAGAATAATGCAACGAAACAGCGCACAGAGTATAAACGCTTCCGCTCATGCATGAGTAGCTTGACTCTGGATAAAGTACCTCATGCAACCACATCAGGTGGGCTGGTGAGGGGGGTATGAGCAGGTGGCTTGGAACAGCATCAACATCTGGGATCCGTCGTGGCAGTGACAGCCAGGAACAACTGAAATCATTTGGCTACACCTTATCCTGACACACAGCCAAGCACTAACATACCTGAGTACCCCCATGCTGCTGGAGCTAAGCGACTCATCGTGTGTGTAAATCCATTCAAACATAATAAATGTGTAACAAAAATGTTTCCTAAGGCAGAAAACAAAAGAGGTTGCTTTCTTGCAATATTGGGATAATTAGCAGGTACATCATCACTGCAGCGAGTTCTGTATTTGATCTACTATGTACAGGGTAATATAAGTCATGTCACTACAGCTAATCTGCACTTACACATTATTCAGAGACAAGGTTAAATGATGGTGTTATTCTTTATTTTTGTTGCTAACAAATCCTAAGTGCAGAGCCATAGGTGTTGCTGTCATGTGTGACAGGAACTTGTGGCTTCAAAACTAGTCCACAAACCAAAGGGTTACGTCACGGTGCCTACCTCCGCTCTTTACATAAAGAATAGATCTCGAGCACTGATCATGAACATCAACGACCCGTCTCTGCTTCTGTCGGTCCATGCTAACAGGTTAAGGGCACATGGAGGCGCCCCAGTATCATCAGTGGGTTTCTAACGTGATTCAGTGTTCTAGGAACACGCGGACTCACTTGACTCGGCAAACGTCTTTTTAGTCAACTCAGAGATGAGAGCCAGTGGATCCTTCACACTGGGCTGAGTGGAAGCTGAACTGGAAGCCAATGTGCTGGCTGTTAGCTTACTGGTGTTGAAGGAGCTAGTGCCTGCCAACCACCAATCACAGTGACCGTCCTGCGTGGAGCCACTGGTGCTGTGCACATTGTCATGTGGAGCAGAAATGGTGATCTAATAACAAATTCCAAAACAAAATTGTGATTTTGAGAATGAGCGGATCATTACTTGTCATTACTATGTTAAGTAACGTTGGGGAGGAAATTTGTGATAATTGTAAGAGTCCTTTTCTATTAGCCCTTGTAGAGAATCCTCCGATGTCTCCCCCGAACTCTATATTTAAAAAAAACTCAGAACAAAAAGAAGTAACTGGAACTGCTACAATCTTGACAATCATTGAAATGCTACAAAAACTCTGGTACTGTAGCACAAACAAGTTGGATTAAGGGTGTGGATCATCGTAGAATGAACATCTGGTCAGGACACATTTGAATATGAAACTACAGACGGATAAAGCAGAGTGTTGCTGTGGAAAAGGCAACAATTGTTTCTGCCCTCCTTGTTTTAAAATTGTGCAGTACTCATCATTTTGGAATCTCGTGAATAACTATGTTTTTTAACATCAAAACTCTACTACAGCAGTTTTAGGCCTTCCGTGGAGGGTTACTACAGCGTACTGATAATGCATTCCCTCGAATCATTGGAGAGTTGACAGTAAGAAAGGAAGTAGTTTATCCAAAAATGTATGCAAAGTTACAAACCTTGAGGTACTAACTTGAAGAGGACATCCTGCCTTGTATGAACAAGGTCCGCCATGTAAAAAAATACTCAGGCTCTTGTAACTTTGTAAGAGTTCCCTTAAGCGTGAAATCGTTCTTTTAGATTCACTTTAAGAACAACAAAAGAAAAAGAAGTGACGTCTCCGTAGACCACAGCCACTGCTGGTTTCTTGAGTGTGTTTTTTTTTGTTTGTTTTTTCGCCCGACTACGTTCAACAACTCAAACCTGAAGGGACCACCCCACCTCACGGCCCAAAGTCTTGTCTCGCTCCGAGGATGTTCCTCCACGCCCGTTAAGTCCGGACACCTGGTGTTTGGAAGCCTGTTTTTTCACTGGGTGACAGGTGTGGGGGCTGAAGCTGGCACAGTTGGCGTGGCGGGGCTGGTGGGGGTTTGTGGCGAGCTCTGGTAAGACCGCAGGAGGACTTTGTGCTTGGTGGCCACCTCCTCTCGCCTGTGCTGCTGGTCGGCCAAGAATTCCTTGAGACGGGTAGTTGTAAAGGTGAGCGTCTGCCTGCGAAGGCGCATCAGGTAGGCATCTTGAAGCCAGGAGTTATTGAAGCAGTCCTTAATGGAGGGACGGGCCCTGTGGAAGACCAGATCATGAGGATGCAAATATGCAAAGATTTATAGAGAGATTTAAAGAAAAGAAACTACAAAAAGGACTGGTGTTCAGCTTACCAAGGGTAGCTACAGAGGATCTTTTTAAGAAACAGAGAGGCACTTTGGGACACATTCTGGTAGAGCTTAGAGACGTCAAACTTTGCCGCCTGGATCCTGGCTTCCGTCTCCTGAGGATCATTTTCAATGAAAGGCGACTTGCCGCTCAACCTGGAAAATTAGGGAGAAGTTTTGAAACTCACAAAACGGCGTGGATCCCTCAAAACACGTTGCAATAAACACAATAAAATCTAAGATCGTTCACCAGGTTAGTTGTGAATTAAATGAATATTACAAGAGTGACAAGATGTCCACACCATGTAACATTACAGTATATGGAAAAAGATCTGAAATGCAAATTTCTCATCACAAGCCTCATTGTAAATTACGAGCACTTGTATATTTCTATTTAAAGAGGGCTTTCTTGGTGGAAGCTGTGAAAGCGGTACTCACATGATGAAAGTCAGTACGCCCACGCTCCAGATGTCAGCTGGAGGACCCACAACATCCCCTTTCAACATCTCTGGAGCTGCAAGAAGAAGGGAAAAATGTACGGCTTTGATTACATTACACTGAACATTAATTACATCCGCAAATAGGCTTTGTACCAAATAAACCATATGTAATTACTAAATGGTGTGTGTAGCCTTTTTTTAATGTGTGAATGGATCGATTAAGTTTGTGCTTCCATAGCTACTAAACGCCCACCGACAACACAGATACAGATCACTGTCATCACTATTGACGTGTACTGTTTATGTATCAATAATTTGTACTCAAAACTTAGATCTGTTTTGTAACATTGTGTGTTTTTGTTTAATTTACTCCCAAATAAATGATTACATAATGCACACTTGAAGGTGTCCCCTTAACTGCAGTGCTATTTATCAATCTAGCTCGTTCTGGTGCGAGTTGCCTACTTTTGGACAGTATAATGAGACTATATGGCAAAGCAATGTCATCTGGAAAACTGAACAGTGACGTCTACTTCCAGAAATCATGACTCAAGATAATCCACAGACCTTGTTTTAAGAGCAGTTTCATATAGGAACTATTTTCCTTTCAACCATAGATCCTCAATTGAAGTGAAGGCAGACATCTCTACGGCCGACAAACCAAAACAATCTAGATGTATAAATAGCGCCATAGGTAAGAGGAAAAAAACATGTATTTTTGATTTTGGGGTGCTCTGTCCCTTTAACATCATCAGTTACTCAGTACATAGAACACATTTCTATTCGGTGATGTCTCTTAATGTTTAAATATGTTGTGTGATAATTTCATTGTGTGGGCAAATCAACTGAGTCATAATGTTGTGTGTTTGTACTTTGTCCTCATGTCCCTCCTGCAACATAGATAATGCTCTAAATGAAGTTTAAGTAACTGAATGACAAACCAACTGAATTATCAGGACAGGATTTGTATTGACCTGAGCCATCCAACACATGCAGTCATTGATTTTTGGCCACTTGAGGGCAGCGTAACAACCTGTAAACACACTGACAAGTCACCTCATAAAAGGTTGATATGGCCAACGCGTTTGCAAACAGTTGCTTGTATATTGAGTAGAGCAGCTTCACTTTGACATTCCCAGTAGTGTGTGTAAAACAGGCCCTTACACATATACTCCAGTGTTCCGATAGGAGGGCTGAACTGCTTGAGGAAGAGGGGGTTGTAAGTCTGAGCGCTGCCGAAGTCAATGATCTTGATGACGTTCATGTAGGTGATGACGACGTTCTCTGGCTTGATGTCCAGGTGGAGGATGCGTCGGGTGTGGAGGTAGTCCAGACCCTGGAGGATCTGCACAATGTAGGTCACCACATCATCCTCTGAGTAACGGAACCTGGATCACGCCACAAAACAGCTTGTTAGAGGGCTCCAGGAGAGGATTTGTTTTTTAAGGCATTTATTGAGGCATTTTTAAATAAACTCAGTATAAACAGGAAACCTACATCAGAGAAGTACAGCCGTTTGGCCTCACCTGTCTATGAGGCTGAAGAGAAGCTCCTTCCCACTGCAGTACTCGGAGATGAGCACCAGGTAGCGCGGGGTGACGTAAGCTTCATGCAGAGCCATGATCCTGTCGTGATGAAGGGACTTGAGGATGTCGTACTCCTGCAGCACCATCTGCTTGCTGTCTGCCTCATATGGAACGATCTTAGCCATGAAGAGGTTGCCTGTGGCGTTTTCCCGGCACTCACGGATCACACCGAACCGACCCCTGTGTGACAAAGAATGAGTCAATGGTGACTTCTCCGAATGCTGTGTGTCCCACGGGCAAAAAGAGCACCGAGAGATTTATGTACAGTTCAGCTAAATCTGACGCAGATGACATTTTTGGCTTGTGGTAAAAAACTCGAAAATAAAAGACATTCATAATGCATATTCAAATAGTTTAACTCTTTGTCCTTTCAAATGAACAAGTACAAATATTTAGGGGAAAAAAATGAAAAAATAACAATCAACATGTATTCAGCAGAACAGCAGAGTTCACTGCTCCAAAAGTTTAAATTATTTTTATTTATTTTATATCGCGAAAGATGTAGTCGGATCCTCTACTTAAATTCTAATACTATGCTGTGAAAATACTCTACTTCTACAAGTAAAAGTCTTGCATTTAAAACTTTACTTAAAGGTTCAGTGTGTTTGGCAGCATCTAGTGGTGAGATTATAGATTGCAACCGACTGAAACTTCTGATCCAAGAGGCTTGTAAGATAGTTAATTTTGCTTAATACGTTTGTCTCTGCCTTTACCTTGCTTTCTCATCCATGAAGGTGTAAGGCTTCTGTGGAACTCCCTGGCGCAGAGATCCCTCTCCGGGCTTTCCCAATGGCGTCCTGCGGCCCGAAGGTGTGGCCCGTCCTGACGGCGTGACCCGTCCGGTCGGGGTGACCCATCCGGAGGGGATGCTCCGGCTGTCCCCTACCTGCAGAAGTGGCGTCAAGCTCTGCACCACCACCACCACGGGCCGCGAGACAGCCACGGGTACTGAGACAGTCACAGGAGTGACTGTAATGGTGGTGGTTGTCGGGGTGGAACTAGATTGAGAAGGCGGAGTAGCCCGCGCGGTCAGAGCCGGCACGTACATCGGAACAGACGAAATAGGTTTACCGATGACAGGCGCGGGTGCTGGTGCGGGAGATGGAGATTTGTTGGTTATTTGAGGGACTGCATTTACAGGACTTCGAGGTTTGGGTGGGACAGGGGGGGGGAGGCCCCAATTTGGTTTGGGGTTTGCCAACGCTGATGTTAATGGTTGTCTTGGCTTTGGCTGCCGTGACTTGGACAGCTGCGGCCGTCTGAACGGGAGCTTTTCCCGAGGGAGCTGTGCTAACGGGCGGAGTAACAGCGGGGCGGCTAACATCGACCTGCACAGTGGGTTTGACGGTTACTGCAGGAGCAGGGCTAGCCACAGGTGGAGCCGGAGCTGAAGTTGAGGGCGGGACAGGCGTTACCGTAGCGGATTTACTCAGAGCTGGTTTAATGGGAGGCACTTTCATGGACGACATCATCACCACAGGGACAGGAGGAAGAGTTGCAGGGACAGTCTTCACCACTACAGGAGTAGTGGATTTAGCTGGTTCTAATGAGAGACAAGGAGAGGGAGGACACGCCTCAAAGACTTGATCTGATAAATGAAAATGGATAACGCATACAATGTGAAGATCTGCAACAAAGACTTCACTCTCAGCACATTGTCCAATGTGATTTAAACATTTGCAATGTGCATCTGTACATTTATTAGAATATAAATACATTGAAAGCAACTATTTGTATATTTGACATCCTCTTCTAAAATCAGCCGAAAGGTCTCACAGAGTTTCTTTGAGGAAATACATACCTGGAGCACTCAGGCTCACTAGCTCTGACAGGTTGCTGTAGGGGCCCTGGCCAGCTTTATTGACGCATGCCACCCTGAACCTGAAGGAGCCCCCTGCTGGCAAGTCAGCCACATTGTAATAACAGTCTGCCGCGCCTGTAGCCACGATCAACCAGTTGGTCTCACCTGGGGGAGTAAAAATATCATTGATCCATGTGTCCAAGTTAATTAAGAGCCGGTTTATAGTACTATTACATAACACTTTTCATTATTCTATATCAAATGCAAACACCTTGTTTTGCTCTCTATAACCAAGTCTCATTGCTGTATTTATGTTTCAGGCTGTTAAATCTCATTTGCCGGAAACAAGTAGTTCACTACTTCACCTTCAACACTGTGTGCCATAGCCCACATGTTGCCATAGAAACCTTAAGATGGTTTGCATTAATGATGTGGTCTCGTTGATTTGATTTTCATAAGAATAATATTGTGTATTAACTTGTTTGATGAGAGTAGGTGTGTTGCCTGGTCATAGCTGATTTGGTAAAAAAAAAAATGATTCTTAATAAATCTTCCTGTTGCAACCCACAGCATATATGGTTTGTACTTATTTATTGTTGAAAGACTGACTTATTGAATGAATGTGAATTTGTCTCACATTCAAGAGGAGATCATTTATATTTTGAAGAGAGTTCTTAGATGTTCTTAATGCCTGGTACACACACATACCGATAACAACGTAGGTTCTAGTTTCAGAATCTATTTTGAAGTGGAGCCTGGCATCTTCGAGAAGCGTTTCCGACCTGAACACTTATAAACTCACGTTGGCGCTTCACTTCTTTTGCTCTCTACAGGCTCTTTTCCTGCTTCCCTCCAGGCACATCGATATATCGCCCAACCCAACCACCCATGGGGTTCGATCCAAAAAGCATTTGTGGACATTTGACAATGGTCATCTTTCTAAAAAAAGTGAATAAAATCCTTTGGGCCAATAGGGCCTTTGGAATCATTGTTAGTGAACACTGACCCTCTGCTCTCCTCTCCAGAGAGTATGTGCAGGGGGCCATGGTATCTGAGGGCCTCCATACTACCAGGGCTGTGTTGTTGTACTTCTGAGGTATTTCAGGGGTCCCAGGACGATTAGGCAGACCTGTACAAACAAATATATATTAGTATTATATACATATCACTTTCCCTCCAGTTTCTTCCCTGGCTCTCTGTTGTCTATCCAGTAGACTAACAGTACTCATTACGGTAGTCATTTATGTACAACAATATACGGACACTATATATTGTTTAAAAGACGACTAACACGGTTTACTGCTCCTCACAGATAGACGTAAAAGTGGTGTATGTCTCAGTTCTTACGAGCAAGAGATATTGTGCAAGAGCTGGACACTGCGGCCAGGGGGCTTTTAGCAACACATTCATAGACCCCTGCATCCTTTTTGGTGGTTCGCATGATCATCAGTAGCTGCCGGCCATCAGGGCAGGCGATCATGTTCATCCTGGCATCAATCTCCAGGGGCTTCTTATCTGAGGAAACACATGAAATGGTCTTTTATTGTGAGATATAACGATGAAGATTTAAGTTTATATTATTTATCGTGAATCAAAACGATGATGAGCGTTAACGTGAAGGTTGTTAAGGTTGCTAGAGTAATAAATAACGTAATTTGTTTATCTTATCTCCTGTCCTATTTGTTTGCACTGTATGCAATTTTTGCTGTCAGGGTAATTCGTGTTAGCGCGTAGTGAGATGCAATGTAAGCGTTCATTAGGCCTCGGCACTCGTGCACCTAAGAATAATTATGTAAATTCTTGCAACTAGCAAGAGAAGTGATTCTGACCGTAACACTGCCTTATTTAAATTAGAGACCCTTACCTTTCATCCAGGTGATGTGTGGGTGGGGGCTGCCTGCTGGCAGACAGCTGAGTGTGACTGGATCCCCCTCCAGCAGGACGTGATCTCTCAGCTTGATGTGGAATACTGGAGCGAAATCTGGGAGAAAAGGACATTTGACACACCATTATTAGAACCACGTAACAACATCTGGCCCAGGATCAGCTAGGAACCTTGTTGTTTTGTTTATTATCCCTCTTCATTTTTGCTATTATTATGAAGAGGTATATGTATGAGACAAACAAATGCATCACATGTACATTTACGAACCAATCAAATGCTATGTGTTCACTGATGTTGCCCTACAATCTATGCGTTATGGTTTGGTATATCATGTGATATGTGATATGTAAGAAAGGTAACCTAAAGCAACAGTTTGACATTTTGATAAATCACTCTCATATCGATATGTAAATTATTAAGCTACAGCCAGAAGCCAGTGGAGAGACTGGATAAGGGGAAACAGGTAGCCTGGCTCTGTTTGTAAGGTAACAAGATTCACCTGGGTGGAGAGGTTACATCTTGTTTGATTGAAGTGCAAAAAAAGAAGGAAAACAAGGGTTAAAAACTACACCTCGTGGTTTTAGGGAGGAATCACTTCCTGATGTATCCTCTGGTTGCCTGGCCACCTCACAGTGATGAGAAAAACATCAGAGTTTCCACTCTTTCTGCTAAGCTAAGCTAACTGGCTGTTGGTTCTAGCCTTATATTTAATGATGGATACAAGAGTGGTCTTCTTATAGAACTCTCGATAAAGTATATCTCCAAACTTTTGCTTTACTCTCTAATTACCTTACCCTTGACACCATACAATCCCATGTGCACTCTTATGTAACTTACCTGAAGCCAATCTGGAGTACTGGCGTGAACGTAGGGAACTATTTTCTCTGGAGATTGCTGTTGGTATGTCAGGCTGTGATACCGTCTTGTCTCGCCTCCCTCTGGTTAGGCCCCATCGATCCCAGCGGGATCTGCGCTCACCCTCCACAACTTTACAAGAATAAAACAATTGACACATTTAAGAAAGTGTAATTGATAATGCTCTGCAACCATGACTATACAGTATATATTTTTAAATAAAGGTATATGCCATACATACCCTTTGATGTTTCTGACTTTAGGCTGGACATGGAGTCTATAGACTCTGATGAGGCACCATTACTGGCCTGAGATGCCAGCTGGTTCTGAGGAACACTTGCAACCTTCGTAGCACGGCTCTCTGATGTCGCACGACGAAGCATGGAAAGAATGGGTGTCCTCTTGGTTTCCTTGTCCTCCGATGCTTTCCTTTCCTCTGAGTAGCTGCGGATTCTTGTGGAGATCCCAGCCACCGTTGATTCAATCTTCCTGCGCATTGCTAAGACCGGTGATTCATTAGGTTTCTTAAGCTCCTTTTCATCTTGTTCCACCAATGAATTACCTCCACCATCCATTTCCACTTCCTTCTTGTCCTGTGACCATCTAAGGCCGAGAGTCCAAGAAGGTCTATGTCTTGAACCAACGGTATCTTCTTCTTTGGTCGTTTCGTCCTTGCGCTCAGTTGACGAAGCTCGCTTCAGGCGCATGGAGAGCCTTCTCATAAAGCCTTGGTCCTTTTGAGCTTCACGAAGATCCTGGACTGACTTCGACTTCTCCTCAAGTTTCCTTGGTGCCAATTCCAATGGCGCACCAATTGGCCCAGGTCTGTATATGTCTTCACCTGACTCTGTTGAGTCTGATGAAGCCGCTTGGGATTTGTCCTCATTCTTTGACCGTGACAGAAATTTAAGACTTCTTGAGAGGGAAGACTCACGTTTTTTGAAGCGGGCCTCAAAGACCTCTTCAGAGGTAATATCCTCAAAGTCAACTCCTGCTGAGAGCTCTTGTTGGGATGAGGAATGTGTGGTAGTCCATGGTGGACTGGGTTCCTTTGTCATCATTTCTGGCGATGCTACCCTGGAGTACACAGCAGGGTGCTCATTGGTTGACGTGGTAGCTGGCTTTGGTGGACCAGGTAAAGCAGAGGACATGCTGGCAAATGGAGATGTGGGCGCAAATGTTTCAGTTAACACTGAGGGGGTCGAGTTCGCTGGAGCTACAACGGGTGTAGAGGGGCCTAAAGCTTGGTCATTGAGAGGCTGAACTGCAGGGACCATGATGGTCTGCATAATACTTGCATATGCTGAAGTCCTTCCATCTGGAAGAACAACTTTAGCAGGAAGCGAGGGTGTCACATAAGTTGACACAACATTTGCTGATGGGCGGGAATATTCTTGTGTTGGTCTCACCATGACTGAGTTTGTGGTTATGATCATATCAGAAGATTGAGCAGGCATAACTACTTCTTTTTCTGCACTTTTTTCAGAAACGTCAACATGTCCTTCAGCATTTGATTCAGCATCACTGACTATTCTTTCCTCTTCTTCTTTCATAATCTGTTCTTTTTCATCTTTCTCATTTCCTCCTTCGTCTTCGTCCATTTTCTCTTCTAGTTCAGAGCTTTGGACCACAAGAGGAGGTGTAGGAATTCTCTGGCCCGTATACTCTGATTCAATCATTGGTTCTTCTGATATGCTCATGTCCTTCTCTGAGAAACCACTAGTGCTCGATCTCTCATCAAAATTACTATCTGTAGTCAGCCCTTCCATCTTTTCATTCATAGTCTCATCAGGCTTTATCTCTTTCTCCATCAATGATTCCTCGCTTTCTGCTTTGGTTAGACTTTCCTGCACAACAGACTCTGGTGTCGGTGGTCTTGGCGAAGGTTCCCTGGGAGTCACCGGACGGGAGTCTAGCTTGATTTGCTCAGTAAGAGCTGACATAGATATGGCCTCCTTGAGCCTTCTCTCTTCTACCCGTGCCAAGGGAATCTCCAAGGGAGCTCCTGACCGGCGGTGTAAAGCTATAGGTTCTGAATCACCTTGACTGAAAGAAGCAGTTTTGCGCAAAACTTTGGGTTTGGGAACTTCCTCCATTGCAGAATCGCTGGATGCAGCTCTAATTAGTGGGGGTGGGCCCAAACGAGCAGTACGAGAGAAGCGTTTTTCATCTCCCGCTCCCAATGTTTCCAACAGAGGTCCCCTCAGTCCACTCATCTTGTTGTCCACAGAGCCACCACGAAGCAGTCGCTGTCGCATCAGCTCCAGTTTGAGAGCGTAGTCTTCTTGACTCATCTTGGCAGTTCCTGGGCTGGTGCTCCTTCTTGGTAGTTCCATAGAGACAGCTTTCTTGAGAACTCTCTTTCCGCCCTCTTGATTAGCTTCTCCAGCTCCTTCCTCGGGTGTAATCCGGAGCAGCAATGCACTGTCGGCGGAGCCTCCACGTCTTAGCTCTCCTCTCCGTCGTCCACCCTCTGGTTTGTCTGACTCCATGCTTGAACCCCTTCGCAGGGGTTTTCTAGTCAGCTGCGACTTTTGCGACAATTCCGCTGGTGGTTCTTCATCTGAGGAACCCCTGTCATTGTCCTGTGACGACCTTTTCCGCAGGCGGCCTTTAGCGGTTAATTCGACGCCTTCTTTATCCATTTCTTTAGGGTCACACTCCATAGCCTCCTGGGCTTGAACAGGAGACGCAGACCATTTACTTGTTCCATCCTGCTTTCCTGTTTCCTGCTCATTTGTCTGGATGTCATTAAGTGACATCCTTGATCCAGAAAATTCCATGTTAAGCGGCATTGGAATGAATGGCAGTTCATCAATGTCTTCATCCGAATCTGAAGATGATGACGGCAAAGGTGAACCTTCTTTAAGGTGCCCGGGAACGGCGATGGAGATATGGCTGGAGGAATCGTTAAGCAAATCAGGTATGGACCTCATGACCATTTTCGATTTATAGCTGATTAGTGAACGCTGTAAAAGTGGATATATGATTAAATAAAAAAAATATTGCAATCTGGGTCTAATGCAAAATAGAAGCAGAAAAGGAAATGAAACCCTCACCTGCCATTTTCTGCGAGACACAAACTTCCTCAAGGACTCTGTGCTTATGGCCTTCCCCTTGCTAAGTGTCTGTGCAATGAAGAGACATTAAATGTAATAAAAGGAATGAGGAATGAGACCTTGCTCAGTATCATCAAATAAAAATGACTGCAGAAAGAGGTTGTGGATGATTAACACTGCAGTGTGAAATACTACAGGCCTGGTCTTACCTTGAACCAGGGGTGACGGAGACATCCTTGAGTATCAGGTCTCCTAGAGAAACAAATGTGTCATTTATGTTTACATTTGTTATTTGTTTACATTTGTTAAAATCGTTGACATGAGCGATTTCGTCTTTTTATTTACTTGATAAGGAGCAATTTATTGTGCCAGTGAGGAAAATGTTGTGGTGAAAGCTGTGACATCTTCTAGAGGTGTTTAAACCTCAAAAATTAACAAACTATATTTAAACTTCTATTAAAATATCTATAAAAGGCCACAAAGGAAATAACTGTCAAATAGAATTCTTGAAAAAAGTCAATGAAAACATATGAATATAACGTGGAAATCTAGAAATACTGAATAAAACTTGAGAATAGTGAATGTAGCTCTCATTGTTGTTGACTTTTGGTTTGTATTTGTGTGTTTTTTCAAATTATGTTAAGACTGACGTGCGTTAAAATAAGGACACCTTTATCCATTCAACTAAGATTGTTGCAATCTGATTTTGCAGCAGTTTACTCATTCCAATGCACTGTGTTTACCTTTAAGACCTTTACTGTATAGATTGCATTCCGAGTGATGTCAGACATCAACATTGACTGAAAATATATCCTATAATATCTCCTGTTTATTCAATATACATTATCTCCGGAATAGCTTGTTGCAACTATAAGTTAAATGTCCAGATGTATTTCACACAATCATTATCATTATTTCACATAAAACAGATCTTGATAAAAAGATCCAGCAGTGTTACTCACAGCCTGTCTGCTACCAGCAGCTTTATGATGAACCCTTTAGCCTCTTGGCAAAGGTCAGCGAACATGCTCTCCTCGAAGGCAACATTATAGTTCCTGATGTTCAGTACGGAGCTGCGGTCATTCTCTCCAGCAAATGGAGAAACTCCTGTCAGACTGATAAAAGAAACAACCGCGTACATTTTAATGACAAGCCTATGGGTAGTCCTGAACCAGCAAACACATAGAAAACAGACATTGGTATTCAGCTCCCTAGAATACATTTAATTATGATGAAAATAAAGAAAAACTATTTTACTCACCCCAGATATGCAATGACTCCAATTGACCTAGGAGAATAAAGAAGAGAATTAGAAAATGGTGATGTATTAAGACAAAATAAACAGTAAATTCAAGAGAAACTCTACCAGATGTCCGTCGCTTTTGACACAGGGGTCTGATTGACAATTTCTGGTGCAACAAATTCCGGTGTGCCATATTTGCAGTATTGAGCCTCATCGGGTGTGATCTGCACTGCGTTGCCGAAGTCACAGATTCGTATCTGATCACCGTGGGAGTCCGCCATGAGGATGTTATCAGGCTGAGAAAAGAAATAAAAGAAAATAAAAAAGTTTTATCATGATCTGCCATCAGAATACATCTTGTATGATTATTTGCTAAATGTAAAACCAAAAACTGTTCCAGTGCAGTTTTGAAAAAATGTATTTTGAATATATATTTTTCATATATCCAAAGAAAGACGATGAAAGAGTGGGAGAGTGAGGCTCCATGAGTATCCACCTTAATGTCGAGGTGTATAATGTGTTGATGATGAAGGTAGTCCACGCCCTCAAGCAGTTGTCTTATACATGAACGTACCTGGTGGTTCCAAAACACAAACATATCAGTATTAAATTACATACAGTACATTTGATCATTACAATGAAGTTGATGTTGAAATGTGCGATTAGTGTTAAATTTGCTGTGCAGGCATAAAACCCTCGACTTACATCACACTCCATAACTATAGATTTCCTTGTAAATCTGTCAAGCAGCTCCTCGTGGCATCTTTAAAGATTAATTAAGGCTATTCTTTCTGGGACTTTAGATGCATTATACAATTAGCTTTGTTATACATTTACAGTATGTATGCATGTATATGCGTTTATTTAACTTTTAACAAGAAAAAGCACTTCAGAACAACATAATACTTAGAACTACATTGAACGTGAAAAAGCAAACATTTTTATTCATATATCATTTCACCTACGTTCCCAGGCTGTTTGTGTACTCTGTGTTTTAACTGCCTAATAAGGATACATTTCGGTGATGATGACGACGGTATTCTTTTTCTCAAAGGCATCCTGAAAGAAAAGGATTCTCTCGTGGTCCAGCTTGGAGAGCAGGTTCATCTCTCTGCGGGCAGATGCCTTCTTCTTGGCCCGTGTGGAGACAAACTTAGCAGCATACTCCATTTTGCCGGCCTTCTGGGTCACACGTTTCACATAGGAAAATGCACCTCTGGAGGAGAACAATCAGGAGGACTTAGTTCATCACTATTTAACTCTACTTAATGAGATAAAAACTGGTTCCAATGCTAGACTATGGTCCTTTTGCATCATTATATTGCGATGGGATTTTAGATGTGGGTTTAAAAATGCCTTACCTTCCAATTTCCTTGTGAATGTCATAGTTGTCAGTCAGTCTGCGCATCTTCCTCAGAATAGTCTCCTCATCATCCATTGGATCTTCCTTACGTTTGGCTGCAGTAATGAGCAAGTTTTAATTGGACTAAAGGAACTCAAATAATCAAAAGACAATAACAATAACAAGTCTTATTAGCTTGTTAGCCATGCAGCCAAAATACTGTTAAACCTTTTTTTTTTTTTTTAAATGGCGTCGATAGATTGACCTCTCACCATCATGAATGGTGAGCTCAGCTTTACAGGACACAGATCCTGCCAAGTTCCTGGCAGTGCAGGTGTAAACCCCGGAGTCTTCTGGACGAGCATTTAGGACCACCAGGGAACATTCATTATCATCATACACGAATGTGTAATGACTGCTCTCCGACAGCAGGATGTCGTTCTGAAAGCAAATACTGTACATTTCGGCATTGGTTCTTCTGAGCTTTATAAAGCAAAGTTATCTGATTTTGTAAATTTCTATTTAAAATGTGTACCCTACTGTATAGTTTGGTTTATCTTGGTGATCACTTATTAAATTACTTTTGATTGCTAAAATGGATAAAAACCTTGAACCAGAGAATTTCGGGAATGGGTTTGCCCTCCACAACCACAGCAAAGCAAGGGGTCTCCCCTGCACACACGTCCAAGTCCTCCATGATAGTTTCAAACGTTGGCGGTGCTGCGGACAGAGTTGCGAAGGTACAATACCAAGTTACATTAGCTTTTAGACGGATGAATGGACAGATAGATCAATCCGCTCCCTACCTGCCATCTCCACGTTGAAGGTGCAGCTGTCGCTGCCGTGCTTGTTGGATGCCACGAACACCATTTCTCCGATGTCAGCACTCTTCACTTTGAGCAGCTTCAGCGTTTGCTGGTCATCGTCTGGCATAGTCATCTCGTACAGGCCTGGCTTGCTGGAGAGGACCGCTCCTCTCCTGTTGAGAAGGGTTTACATGTTCAATTTTGTTCATGTTATAGGTGGGAGGACAGCGGGATAGCACTGGGAGTGGAGCCTTTTACATATTTGTTCAATGAGAATAAAATTAAATGTAAAATCAAGACAATGCCTATATATAGGTATATATATATATACTGTATATGCTGGAGACGACATCACAGGCAAATGCATTCATGTAAGAATAGAAGATGTTAATAGATACCTCTTCCAGAGGACTGCAGCGTTGACATGATTGAGGGTGACAGTGATGGTGACTGACTGGTTTTCCATCACATGTACAATATCTGGCTTATCAATAATCACCGGAGCCTCCTGAAGATAGGGACCTAAAAGCAAATGTACACACAGATAATATTTATTAAATAGTTCAACCATCCACACTGATGATGGATGGATGGATGGATGGATGGATGGATGTTCTGGAAAAACCTGAATGCACCTCGGTCCAGGAGCTGCACCGGGTCGGTGGTAGGTGAGGGCTTGCTGAAGGCTTTGGAGGTGATGGTCAGGACCCTGAAAGCATAGCGCACGCCTTTGGAGAGGGTGGTGATGGTGTAGGTGGTCTCCTTCAGGCCAGAAGCTATGATGGTCCACTGGATGGAGCCCAGGGCTTGTTGTTGGATGGCATACATCAGGGAGCTGGGGTCTGAAAAGAAAAATGGTTGGAAAGTTGGAACTACTTCTTTGCCGTTCACAAAAACACAATTGTGTTCGCTGCGCTTCCAGGAAGCTTACAATTAAACCCTTTTTTGAATAATTTTGTCTATATTTCTTTATATAGTGTACTTATTTGATCTGGTGAACAAAACAAATCGGAATATCATTCTTTCATACCAATGGAAGGGTCCAGCCTCCTTGGTTTCTTCCAGCTTAAGTTGATGGTTTTACCAGTGATGGATTCTATCACTGGACACCCATCAGGAGGGTCTGGGAGGATATCTGAAAATGACCACAATGGAATTAGAGGTCCATAAATGTTTCTGATCTGCCTTTTTGCCAGAGCAAATCTGTTTAAACAGGGGGTTCTTGTTTGAATCCCTATGTGTTTTTTTTTTTAGAATAGAATGAAAATCACCTGTAACATAGAGATGAGCATAGCAGGTGGCTTTGCCAACTTTGTTTGAGATGACACTCTTGTAGACGCCACCATGGGCGTGGCACACGGAGCGGATGACCAGGCTGTGGACGTCACGAACTACAGGAGGAAGCAGAGATGAAAGGTTAGGAGGTAGTACTGGCCCATTAGCGTCTCTATGCGACTTAGCTGACCACAACGGTGACAAATTAAATGATGTCCCTGAAAATGAGACTGTTGACCTGAAAAAGTTATTTCTTAAAAGTGCTTAAAATGTCTGAAAAGCAAACTCTTGCCGTTATGCAAGTATTGACTGTCCATTCTCAGAAGCAAGGTAGAAATAGCGTGATATTGTCAGAGTGTCTGAATTTGACTGTTAGAGATTTAACTAATTAGCTGCTCAGAACAGCAGTGTTAATCTAATCACATACTGTCATAATGGCGTTTCATTCAGCTCAAAGACGTACTCAATTCATTTTTAGAAAGTTGGCTTTTCTTCATGCAAGTGCCTAAGTTCCTTTTAATTTTGATTAACATATTCATTTTACTTTAACTTTTAATAAAAATACCAAATTATAGGAATCTGAAATAAACTGCTCAGACCGTTGCTTTGTGAAGGCTCGGTTACGTTGGCCTGAGCCTTGGCTGAATGTTATTCCATTTTCAAACTCTTACACTGCGTCATCTTTCTGTCCTCGGTGCTCTCAATCCGTTTGCCGTTGTGGAACCAGATGATGGTGGGGTAGGGCAAGCCGGCTACTTTACATTTGAGCACAGCCTCCTTGCCCTCGATCACATCCAGGTCATAAAGGGGTTTGATGAAGTCAGGCATAGTGAAACGCTCCACCTCGTTCTCCGGAACCTCTGGCTCCTCTGGGATCGATGGCATCTTCTCCAGTTTAGCCCTAAAGGGAAGAAAAGATTTTAGAAACCATATTCTAGAATAGTCCATGTAACACACAACAGGACTAACACGCTCTTACATCTGCGAGGAGATGGCTGGCCGTGGTTCTTGTATGTAAAGCTCGGCGGAGCTCTCTGCCTCGCCGTGACTGTTGCGGGCCGTGACAGTGTAAAATCCCTCATCCTCATTGGTCACATGAGAAATGAAAAGAGAGTGGCGGCCGCCCTCCCGAAGAACACGAATGTCCTCACTTTCTATAAGCGGATGATCTAAAGGGGTAAAAAAAGGTTTGTATTATATATTTCTTTAGTCTTAAAGTGCGTTATAAATAACAAGAGGGGAGAAATATAAAGAAGAAGAGTAAGAATAGAGTATTTCACAAAGGATCGGATCCTCCAACTTCTTAGAGAGGTAACCAACTATTTTCACTTTCGCCGTTTGCAGGCATGTAGCATAAAAATCAGATCACTGTTGCTCACAGAATGATGAAAAAATAAAAAAAAAAAAAAAGGACAATTATTGCCTGCTGACAATAGTCTTTTTTGCTGCCTCCAGTATTCTGGGACCTGTAGTATTTAAACCACATTTGCTGTTATCACCAGTAAAACAGGGTGTCGCCAAGTCAACCAGGAAATCTTAAGGATTGCCACTCAAAATGTAAGATGTTCTGTGATGCACCTCTGCGCAAGAGCAGATAAGTACAATCCTACCAAAGTGGCTCCAGACGACCTTAGGAGACGGCGTCCCACTGACTTTGCAGTCAAATCGAGCGTTGCGCCCCTCAATCACTTCTAGAACGTCCAGCTTGCGAGTGAAGAGAGGCTCAATTGATGGGATGACTCTGAGTTTGCCGCATGAGGTCACCTCCTCTGAAGAGTAAAAATGTGTATTCAGAATAGCAGAAGACAGGTAAATTCCTTTTAATTTAAAATCACACATATTGCGATATTTATTCTTGAGACATACCTTTAGCTGTGCTGAGCTTACACACGTACGTCCCACTGTCGTCCTCGTGTACGGAGTTGAGCAGCAGCCGGCACTTTCTTCCATCGAAGTGCATTTTACAGTTGAGCAACGCCGGCTGGATCAGTTTCCCGTCTGCCAGCCAGTCCACATCGGTGTCCTTCGGTCCGATGACATGACACTCAAACAGAACGGTCTCTCCAGCCTTGGCTGTGATGTCCCTGACCGGGCGGATGACAGCCAGGCCCGGCTCAACTGGTGGCGCTGGGTGTAAATAAAGGACATTTTCTGAAGAGTGCTGTTCAGTGGTACTTGATGGTTGGACTAGTTACTGGTCAGAATCTATGTTTTTATTCACTTCAGGTTATGGTATCAATGTATATATCCTAATTAATAGGTAAACTAGTATCAGCAATTTAGTCACAACTAAGCAAACAGTTAACTCGTTTGTCGAGTTAACTGTTTGACCTGATCAAACACTGCTCCATTATCAAAAACAGAGAGTGAAATGTGGACCATCAAACGCCTGTGCATTTCGAAAGAAGCGTACCTTTTACCTCCAACTTTGCTTCACACTGCTTTGTCCCATACTCATTAATGATCTTACAGGTGTAAACCCCAGAGTCTGACCGCAGTGCTGACTTGACGGTCATTTCAAAAGTGCCGTCTTCTGTCTCCCGCACATCGTGATGTGGGCCAGCTTTTACCGTAACTCTGTCCCGCAGCCTGCAAAAGAGGAGAGTTTAAGGGAACAATTCCTGCCGTGTGTTAAAACAAGTGACGAATCATGCATGAGCTTTTTTAAAACTTAATTTATGCGTTGAGGGATGACCAAGCGCACACTTTTTCCAACCACAAGCTCTCTTCTGGCTGGTATGAAGGGGGTGGAGGGTGGGATACATCATCCATGACTGCCAGTATTATGTTTAGCACATTCCTTTCATGCTATTGTCTTTCGAGAGTCATGACTAACTCCAATGACAGGGCCTGCCTGTGTAATTCAGCCTATTCTTGTCGCTCATATTAAAAGGGATGGTTGAAGTGGGGTTAGTATGAGGTACTTATCCATAGTCAGTGTATTACCTACAATGGATGCCGCGCCTCTAGTTTGGGGAAACATTGGAGTATGAACATGGAAGCTAAGCAATGTGCTGCTGTGGACGGGGGCAGCAAAACATATTTTAGACACCTAAAAGAAAGGCTCACCTGAAGAAAATGATTTTTCAGTTTACGTGTATGCTATATTATAGAATATTATCCTTGCTGCTAGACAGCCCTTTCCAATGAGCCCTTAACAGTGAGGCCGTTATATCCAACGATTCTCTTGTCAAAGCTACCAGACTCCGTTGACACAAACAATAATTTCACCTACAAGCCAAAGAAGGTAGTCAAAGGTCATGTGTACTGCTGTTGATTGTAGCTTAGTCTGCCGTATACTAAACGATCGCCTGACACATTTAAATCCGTTTGTTTTTGTGACTCTTCATGGCTTGTAGCTAACGTTAGCTCTCCACTAGTGACTGATCAACTTGCGTTTCTGACTTGCTAGCTCGACGGCTGCGCTCTGGTCCCGTCTGCCCCCCCCCCCTCTCTGTATGCAGTACTAAGGCTTGTAACGTTTTGTTCAAATTCAAAATGCTCAACTTAGACGCAACAGGCCGTGCCTTGCACTCCAGTGCACCGCTTGTCTGACGTTCGTCTACATGCCTTGTTACTGATAAAGCAACTGGTGGGCAACAGTGCATGCCCGGCTGCCTGATCAGTAAAATACAGTAAAATGTTGTTCAGAATTGAGAAAACAAATAAGCCGTGCCGACTGGATGACACCAGACCATCTGAGAAGTGTGAGAAAGTATTTTTAATTCAACACCAAAGATGGCGCACCAGTGAGTATTTACAGCAGCAGGATGGTGCATGTGGGATTAACTCAAAGTCAACAACAGTGCCCATGCTCGAGAAAATGAAGGAACATGTCACCCAGTTAACAGAGAGAAGTTCCACGACAATAACATATCAGGCTTTGGTCTTTTTCATTGAATTTGCTGGCAGTCAGAAAAATATGGAATATTCCAAGCTGGTGTCATAGCTAACAACTGCAATGAAGAAACCACTGGCTCATAAAACATATAAGGGAGTATTCTACAAACAGGAACTTCAATCCGATGTGGCTCTTTTTTTTGGACCGCCTGAGCATTGCATGAGAATTCCAGATTGTTGTCTCACAGCTCATTAGTTCAGACAGACATTTGTGTTTCTGGGCCCTGAGCAGCTCAATGGTAAATGGGGGGAAGCATGTTATTCTCCTCCTTTCCCTATTAAGACTCTTTCTGTCAGCCTGGAGATTGGTGAGCAGGAAACATTAATCTTCCACTTCCTTTAACTGATGCAATAAAGCAGCATGCTCCAGAACAAACTATGCAGTCAAACAGGCATGCCCACGGTTTGTGATACAGATAAACTACTTTTCCATTTCCCATGCAAGCGATGAGTCTAAGTGGGTTGATGAAGTGTGTGTGTGTGTGTGTGGGGGGGACCTACCAATAGAGCATGGGTTTGGGTTGTCCACTTATTCGGACAGCGATGGTGACTTCCTGTCCTTCAATGACAGCTTGATCACTCATTGTTACCTGTTTGAAATGTAATGCAAGTTAGAAGCTGAGAGATGCATTTTTCTACCTGCATGTTTTTATTTGACGGATGTGTTGATGGGATGACCACACAGTGGACAATGCGTTCATACAGGAGAATTCATATTGATAGATTCTGTACGCCCTGTACATTAAACATTTTGATGCAATATATTGCAACAAACCAGTCAAAAATGCAATTGAGTATGTGTCAATGCTGAAAATATAAAAGTGATTCTCTAAAAAAGGGAACGTCAATTAGGTATCCGTTTAGACTGAGCTCTAGACAGTCTCACCAGGAATGCAGGGGGTTTCCTGAATCGTGTGTCAATAGTTCGCTTGAGCTCAGGCCCTCCGAAATCCATGCTTTCCTCCAGGGGACTGAGATACTCCTCATCAGATGTAATAGGGCTGCCGATGTCCCTGGGCACACCCAGGTTCCCTTTTGGCTCCTGCACAGACTCTGTAAAAGCAACGAGGTCACATTGTGTGTCGGGGTTTAGTTTCAGACAATCCCGCTCGCAAACAAATGAGCTGAAAAAGAACACAGGAGAGCTGGAGGAGTTAAAATGTAATTAGATTCTGAGATGTCAAATGTGAAATCCAAACAATAGTGGATTCACAGTGAGTGGAGGCAGTGAGCCTCAGTGGGCAATTTATAGGTTCAGTTTCGACTCTGAGTTACTATGGTAACTATAAGTGAGGTTGTTCAGCTGGAATATATGGCACAGGCATTTTGCTCAGTGAGATAATGAAAAGGGAGCAGGAGAGAAATCAGCTGAAACACAATGCCCTGTTTGGGAAGAGATGTTGGTGGAGAATAAGAGATTTAAAAATTATAAATTATTGTTCGATACATTGGCCTACTTTTGAATATGTAAAGTATTTTTAAATAATGTCCTATTACATTTTTGACTGTACTACACTGATGTCCTGCCTGATCTGTTAAAATGAAGGCAAATGTTTGCATCATATTATGATGTAGATCAAGCAGGACTTTGTATGAACGACTACATTTTTTGTATGTAAAAAAAAAAAATACACGTAAAGTCAATTTATTTTTATTGTGGAGATTAAAAAAACCAAGTATTTCACAATGTTTTCAGGCTTATCTTTTTAATGTGTTGCTTGAGAAGATATTTGTTTCAAACCTCACGCTCCGTTTCCATTAAGATATTTTTAACATTGGGACATTTACTGCTACTGCGCGCTTCCTACTTCACTGGTGCAGTGGATGAGAGCTCTTTCTCATCCTGGTTAAACATTAGCCTAGCGCCATGGAACTAAAGCCCCATCCACCAACCTGGGACTTTAGTTTGTGAAAGAGATAAAAAACCTAATTTTGAATTGTTAACATCGCAGATTTAATTATACTAAATTTATATCCGCTCAGATTTAACTTCATGTTAAATGGGCAGACTAATTGTATATTTCAATGGTGATAACTAATAAAACAGTTACTGTAAATACTCATTTCAATTTCATATGATATCCCCAAAGTCAAACGTACCTGCTTTGACTATAAGGGTGGCACTGCTGGACGCCCTGCCCACCTGATTAACAGCAGTTACGCAGTATTTTCCACCATCACTTATTCTAGCTGATTTGATGAGCAGAGTATGTCGTTCCCCCTCCACTTTGACTGCGTAGTTTGCATTGCCGGTGATTTCTGTGTTTTCTCTCATCCAGGTAACTACAACAGAGAACACAGAAAAGACAAATAATGTTATTGTTGTATTGATTGCTTCAATTTACAATTCAAAATTACCTGTGAATGTTTTAGTTGTTAAAACCCAACGTGTTACCTTCAGGAATTGGGGTGCCGGCAATGATGCATTTCAGTAGCACATCGGCACCAGCAGATGCTACGGTGTCTTGCAGGGGAAACTCAAATACAGGGGCCTCCATTGGGTCTTCTTCAGCAGAAACATAAGAATCATCTGACGAATCTACACAGTTTGACAAAAGACAAGCCTGAAGCCATTTTTTCCCCAGTGATCAAATTAGAGGAAAATCCCCTCTAGTAGGGAATGAGTAATAGGTTGATTAAACATGAAAAGCAAGCAGACTGGAAATTTACACTACTGCAGAAAGCTAAATGAAAGAAGCACAGCAAATCCAACCTAACTCTGGAGACAAGGGTCGAGGGCGACGGTTCTTTCCTTTGGCCTTCAGCTGTCGTCCCTCTTTGGCACTACCAGTTATCTGCTGAGGCTCACTTGTCTTCACATGAACATCCTCGTCCATCTTTTCATCTTCAACAATAATCACGGGGATTCTTATCTTTGAGGCCGGTTTAAATTGATCCACTTCCATTCTCTCCTCTGTTGGGGTGACTGGTGACATCCTTGGGGGTTTTGAGGGTGGTTGAGGAGGAAGATCTTGCACAATGACCACCCTTTTTTGTACCAGTGGACTTTCGGGTCTGTTTTCAAATTTTCTTAGTGCTACTTCTATTGGCGTCTTCCTCCCCGAAGTTTCATCCTTTTGTGACGTTTGCAAAAGAGATTCTTGGATGTGCAGGGATTCTTGCATTCGGGAGACCCTTTGCACAAGCGGACTTGGTGGCCTTCGTTCAACCTTGCTTAATGTCATCTCAGCAACATTCCTGCTTGGCGAATCTTCCCTTTGTTGATGGTATAATGCTGGTGATGATGACCTCTGAACGATTTCCGTTACTGGACTGACCCTACTTAATTCTCTCACTGATCGTTGTCCTGGTAAGTCGGATAACTGCATGGACTCTGGGGTGCCTGCAACTTCTCCAAATCTACTGACTGTTACGGTTGTTGAACCACTGCTTGCTGTCTTTTGGGGTTGGGACATATGCTGTTCTTGCCATGTTTGATGTTGTTGCTGCATTGGTTGCTGATTATGTTCCGTTGCCCTCTGTTCCTTTGCCCACTGGGCACGTTCCCTTTCTTGGAGCTTTTGAAGGACTTGTGGAGGAATAGGTTCAATTTTCATTAAAGGCAGGCGCTGCTTGCTCTTTAGAGTGAGCTGTTCAGTTGAAAACGACTTCTTCATGTGAGGTTTACCAACAAGCTTCTTAATGCGCTGGAGCTCCTCGGTGAACTTGTTCTCAATGTCTTGAACTTTTTGGGAGTAGCGAGGTTTCTCCTCCAGTGAAGCGGCTCTCTGTCTAAACATAGATCTTCGTTCAGCGGCATCCTCTTTCAAAGCCTCCCTTAGGTCTTCCCTTGAACTTTCTCGAGAGATGCCGAGCCGGCTTCCTCCATCATCTGAATCTACAGATCCGGCACGATTGAATCCTGCCCAGGACCCTCCCGAGATGGAACCTTCTGGAATATCAAGGCTCCGTCTCCGCTCTTCTAATCCACGAACCTTCTCAAAAACCTTTGAGCTTGCCCTGGTAAGCTTTGGGGATGGTCTGAGGGTAAATTCTTTCCGGGAGTACTCGCTCAGTGGAGTCTGTGGTCGGGAGTCCTGGGTGTTACCTTGGGTGACGGATTTGGGCTGCCTGACCTTTTCTTCAAACTCCCCAGGCACTGTGTCTTGGTAATCAGTTTGCGCAACAATTTTTTTACGCAAGCTGAGAGGTGTCGTTGAACCGGAGCGACTTGGCATTGGAGAGGTGGAGGGACGTTTGACGAGCCTTGGGGATGGGGGTGGGAGGGCTTGTGGCGGAGATTCTCTTGAAAAGTTCTCTGACGGGCTCCTGAAATAAAGGATTTGAAGCAAAATCTGTTGGAATCGGTAGGTTGTTACTAATTCACAATCTTTTGAGTATTGTATTGAATTTGAGTCCAATAATACAATCATTACACTGAGGTGTTTTTTTATTTTTATAAACTGCTAGAGTTATTTGGATGTTTCTTTCTTGCCTGGTTGTGTTAGAGTGATCCTCACGTCCATGTGTTCTACTGTCATCTTCTGCACATTTGTCCATCACTGCATCTCATGTAAAGAGGAGATATGACATATTGTACAGGTAAGCCATTGGGTTCCTGCATTGACTATGAAACACAGCAAATGTAAGCTGGTCATTGTTTTGGTTATCAGGCATGCAAGTGCGACTCTCGCCAGCCTCGTTTTCAGCCAATGCAAGCTCTGTTCTACCAACTGTTTATTATCAACCAAGCACCAAACCGAGACAAACAAACTTAGCGACTACATGGAGCAATTAGCAGCTAAAGAGCCAGTGTTTCCATAACAGGTCTAAAAGGAGAGCGAATGGTTAACCTTATATTCATCAAGTAGACACAAATGCAACTCCAAATAAATGCCAATGTTACTGCTAATAAAAGATGTATAAAAGAAAATCCATGATTCTCTAAGGGAATAATTGCAAGCCGGAAACACAGTGGATACCTGTATGCACAGCCTGGTCCTCAACATCCCCGCTGTCTTCTTTGGTCTCAAATTGCTCACCTTCATCCTCTGTATCGGAATCTGAAAAAACATATAAAACCATGAAAAATGATTTCCTAGTGAATTAGAATTTTACCTGAGAACACTATTGGTTGAGAAAATAGTGCAAGTTAAACAGTACTTGGAATAAAAGTGCCGAGAGAATCCCTCATAGTATAAATTATTTACAAAATTAAATGTTATACAATCTATTAGCCTTAGTTGAAGGCAAGCAGCAGAAGACGAGAGAGCACACGGTTATTAATAAAAGAACCAATAGACTACATTATCTTATTCACTTCAGTGATGTCTATTTGATTATGACGGTCATAATCAAATAGAGATGAGGTGTAATGCAATGGAAAACTAAGCTTGTAGTTGAAGGAGGTTAATTTAATCTTTGATGTGCCATTTTTGAAATGCATATTATGATATATTTTGACAGTATTTCTCCACAGCTGGGATTATGGTCCAAACATGCACAATTGAGATGTCACCGTCTACACAAATTTGCAATTGAATTGTTCAATTGACTTTTACTAAACACCATTAACATGAAATGTTGCCACCCTCGGGTCTCATTAGCACATCTCAGCTAAATGTACTAAATTTGTACAGTCTTTATCTTTCATCATTTTCTCATTGGTATCTGCAAGTTAATATTGGGGAAGGGAATATAATACATTGGAGCAAGATAAATAGAGGTGTTTCAGTGTTTCAATTGAAAACTTTATTCTTTCCATTTGATCCCTTTTATTAAAACATAAAAACTTCTTCCAGCTGTACCATCTGAAAGATATGGAGATATTCCTCAGACAGAGAAAACTCAGTCATTGGTAGAACTCAAAATAGAAAGCGCTATTGAGTCATTGGCATCCCAGCGGCTCTCATGGGGTGTTTGCTTCACAGTAGGTGGAATTAAAATAAAAAAACAGAGGCTATCTGTTGTTCCCTTGCAGTAAGAGAACACAATAGGATTATGTTGGTCATTCTGAGCACGATAGAGAAATACTGGGATTGTTCGTATGAATTCAATACAAAGACCAAAACCTTACATCTCGTGTGTGTGGCAAGCTCATGATGTTACTCAAAGCTAATAAATCTACATAAATTGCACAGTCATGCAATATCTAAATCATATGACAACATTGAACATTTCAAAATAAATCTCTCTTGGACGTTTTCAATGCAATGCTTTTCCCAGAATAGCACCTACAATTATAATAAAGCAGTTACACATGTTTTATATATCTTAAATATCACCAGAGTCTGTTGTACACACTGTATATACGATTTTTTACACCGTTATAGCATAATTAACAACTGCCGCCACGAAGCACTCACAAGCATCTTTAGATTTTGTCCAAATCTAAAGTACTGAAGCAGCGTTCCAAAACCAAAACAATTACAAGAAATGTACATTACATTAACCATTTCTATGATCACAAAAGTTCATGTTTAAGTATTTATCTCACTGCAACATCTCCAAAAGAACAGTCATTATATTGATTTACAGGCTAGAATTTAGGTGACACTGAACATGCTACATGAAAGTGCCAAGTTTAACAGGGCTGGGTATACACACAGCATTTAATTAAAAGGTACACTAGTTTTGAGCCATGCTGGTGGTGTGGCTCGAGGGATGACAATGGTAATCCATGACGATTAATCTAGTGCCAGGACAAAGTTTTCACTTATCCAATGAAATAGCTCGACATCTACATGATGGATTGGCATCAAATTTGGCACAGATATTCGTGGTTCCCAGCTAATGTATTCTAATGACATCCGACGTCACAAGTATTATATAATTTCCAGTTAAACATATTTATATAAAATGAATCGGCTCTTCCATCCATGAGGCCCATAGAGCATGCACACTAACCGTTCCTTTAAATCAGCCTCCCAACTGCTCTTTTTTGCAGATAGCCACATGAACAGCAGTTCAGGGAAATTATTTGAAATGAGAGAAATGACTACAGGATTCGACAATTTTTTCCACTTTTCCAACTTCCATCCATTATCTTTCAACACTCATCCATAGATAGACAAAAGAACATAGATCGCCATTGATACAGACAATCATTAACGCTCACTTTCACACAGAAGTTCCTATCCACACTGCCATGTGGAGACCTTGCATACAGGGGGGCCACCCAACCCTGGGATCAAGACCGAGCCCCTCTTGCTGTGAGGCAACAGGGGCTCCCCATTATCCAATTTTTAAGACATAATGATTTGAGGTTCATACTTGGAAGTTGATTTACTTCACAAAAAAAGTAATGATCTGCTGATTTACAGACTTTCCCAATGTAAGTCAATGGGAAAATGTATTTTTGGGCCAAATTGCACCCCATGATAGACCCATGGTTTGGCTTAAACAACAATTGGCTTTAATGCCTAGAGCTCTTCCTCGGGACTTGATTCAAAACATATCTCAAAGACACTGAATGTAATGCACTAAATTTGATTGACAACATTTTACATCAGACAAACCCCAGCTTCTACCTCTAAGATTCTGGTATGCACGTTGTTCGAAGAACGGTGCACAAAAGGTGATCGTGATGAACTTCTTTTGATCAATTTTTGTTGAAAAAAAAGGTGGACGCTATTGCATTTCTAATTAGAGAGATCTCATTAAATCATAGAGGAAGGTTTGGATTTTTTCAGCGCCGACTTAAAGCACGCCTTGAGTAGTAAGCATGTTCCAGAAGAGGATGCTATTAGACATCACACAGCTTCATTAGTTAGTGGCTTGACGGTGCTATGATGGCAGTGAGTGATTGCATTGGGGCATTACTGAATGTATGTCACACAATACTCCCAGAATAGTGTGGCTCATAAACCTGTCACTGTAACCCTACAGAAAACCATATAGCTCAAGTTCATCCTCCATAATGAGATTTACACTTTACCATCGCAATGTCTTAGTTTTGCCCTCTCTGTTGTGACAAAATAAGTTTTATCTTTCAATCATCGTCTACATTCACCCTTCTATTTTAAGGCATTAGCGTTACAAAATGTTTCAGTTTTTGATATTATCAGTTTCAAAATATCCATATAATAAAGAAGCCCGTAATCGCGATAAGAAACTCTCCAAAGCCCCCTCCCCCCTTACATGAGCAACATTAGTCTAAGAAGCATCACAGTACATCTGCATTTCTAGTGAAACAAAATTCTTTGAAGTTAGTTCAAAGCTCTGGCGGTGTCTTGAGCTGTGTGATTTCTAATCAGAGTGCTAATGCTGGTTTCTATTGGCTTATATTCCACAGTAACAATGGTCTCAGCCTGTTTCCCTATTGATCAAGGATGCACAGATAAGCTTCATCTCCTTTAATTATTGTCAATGCATCTGACACTGTCAGTTGAGAAAACCCTCTGCTGCCAGTTGATGAGCCGTGATGTTGATAAAATGCTTCTGTCGACACATAACATTGAATATTTTGCAGTTTTTTTGTACGTTCTACATACAGCAAATAGATGAATCAGTATAGAATCAATAGAGCTATGATTGACAAAGATAACATGAAATAGCACTTGCCTGATTCTTTTCTTTGGTCTGGATTTTTTTGTTATGGCCACTGTTGGTATGTCCTCGACAGGTATTTTTTGTCTTGGCTTACGTTCATCAGCAGGGTATTCCCCGAAATACAGTGGGGGTTCCGAGCCATTACTACACGCCTAAATCAGGACATTTTCTGCAAAAGACATCAGCCATTAATATGCCGACTTTGATGTCAAAGATTCAACTTGTTATTTACTGCAAGTCTGCTGACGTGCAGGTGAGAGCATCTCAATCAAATGCAAAGACAAAAAAAACGTTAAGAAGGCACTTTGGTCCATTATATAACAAGTTGCAACCTTTAGAGAGTCAGCACTTCTTCCGAGAGGATCCGTTTCTGGAAAGCACAGAGCGTAGATCTCCATCGGCAGGTGGACACGTCTGTTGAATGCATATCATCCACTCTGAGGGAGCCCCCACTGTCCACACGATAGCCAGCAACAGTGTGAGCATCTTCCCCCGCTGTGTTCCACCCCACAGGCAGTGCACACCGATAGGCAGAAAAACCAGTGGGAGTGATCCAGCCCTCTTGAGATCAGCGTTCTACAGTATTGGTTGACGTTTTTCATTTTTTCCCCCCATTCCTCCCCATGTGCCCGTGTGTCGTTCTTCAACCGGTGTAACGAGCAGACGTCGCGTTGTCGGCAGAGGAGAGGGGAGAATCGCTGCGCGGGGACCTCCTCACTCCTCTGCATCGCTGGAACACTGGTAGCTCTCGCTGCAAATGTGCTGCTGGCTGCTTACGCCAACTACACAAAGCAAATGCTATTTACAAAAGGATGCATTTAATGGCCGCACCACACTGCTACACACATAAAAGATAACACAGTCTGTTGTACATGACGCGATCAGCTGCTGCTAATATTTGATACATTTGGTGGACTAATTCTTGAATATGCTGTCACGTCATCACATGGTACATTTTGAACGACTCTGTATTTCGAGAACACTTTCCCCTACAAAAGGAAACGAAAAGGCAGTAGTGCCTTCACATTTCATTTCACCACCTCAGTACACGGAAATGGCTACGCTCAGAATTGACATTTCAATTGACACAGCGGCACGCTGTGCTCAGGACAAAATGGCACAGTGTACACGCTGAGAGTTTGCTCTCACACCTATGGACGTTCATATAAGCCCAGGTCTAAAAAGGCACTACCTTTTACAGCAGTGTATGTAAAAGGTACATCAGTAATAACTCATACTAAATAAATCATGGTTGCAGCTAGGGCTGCACGGTTATGGTCAAAATGTTTAGATCACAATGGCATCCAAATAAGACTGGTCCTTATTCACAGTACATCTCCGAGAAGAGAAATTTAATTGGACCAATAATTTTAACCCAAAATGACTAAATAATCAACAGAGCTTTGCTTGGACAAATTCCTGCTTATTAACAAATCTTAGCATACAGTATGTTACTCTTCTTCTCTGGTTGCATCCGCAACATTCAGAGGCGTTGTTGGCCGCCATTGCAGTG